TTTTTGGACAATGTTTTCAGATTGCATGGTATGCCAGCTTCTATAGTAAGTGACAGGGATCCCATTTTCTTAAGTTCTTTTTGGCAAGAGTTATTTACATTACAGGGGGTCTTACTACATAAATCGACAACATACCATCCTCAAACTGATGGTCAAACAGAGGTTCTTAACAAAACCTTGGAGACATATTTGAGATGTTTTTGCTCTGATAGTCATACTTAGGCTACGCAACTACCACTTGCTGAATGGTGGTACAACACTACATACCACTCTACTTTGAAATGTACACCTTTTGAAGTTTTGTATGGTCAAAAATCACCAATACACTTGCTTTACTTAGTTGGTGAGTCTTCTAATGACATGGTTGATAAATCCCTGGAGGCTAGAGAGGCTGTGATAGCCTTGCTCAAGTTCCATTTAGCTAGAGCACAACAAAGCATGAGAGATAAAGCTAACAAACACAGGTCTGATAGGCAATTTATGGAAGGCGATTTGGTTTACTTGAAGTTGCAACCTTACAGACAGATTTCAGTTGCTTCTAGGCCTTTCAACAAGCTTGCTGCAAAGTATTTTGGTCCTTACTTGGTACTTTCTAGAGTTGGTGCAGTAGCTTACAAGTTGCTTTTACCTGTTGATGTTCTTATTCATCTTGTGTTTCATGTTTCTCAACTTAAAAAATGTTATGAGGTGCCTACAATCATTAATCATCCCCCTATTTTACATCTTTCAAGTCCTTATTGTCCCAGTCTTGAGTCGATACTGGAGAGACGGATGGTCAAAAAGGGTAATAAGGATGTGTGTCAAGTCTTGGTTCAATGGTCTGGTTTGGATGCTTCTCAGGCTACTTGTGAGTTCCTGTATGAGCTGCAGCACAGGTTTCCTGCATTTCACCCTTGAGGACAAGGGTGGTTTCCATTGGGGGTATTGATACAATGCGTAGATGAGCGTAGATGATTAGGAATATTAAAAAGTAGTTACTACTGTTCATTAGTCACAAAAACAATTATCACTGTTCATTGTTTGTTAGAGCAGTTATTTCATTAGATTGTAGCTTTAGCTTTCAATTCAACTCTATAAATAGAGATGTAATACAATTGTTAAGGCATTGAATGATATATGATAATTCTTCTCTTCTCTCTTTTACTCTGTTCTTCTTAGCTTCTATCTCAGAATTTTCCCTGATATAGCTATCTTCTTCTTCGAGGTTCAGCCTCCTAGTTGATATTATCCTTTCGATTACTGTTAATTGGATCAAAATTAGTCCTGCTTCTCTAGTTTTATTTACGCAATTCACTTGAACTTGTATTGTTGTCTTCTTTCATCTTTCATAAAACTTTGTATTCATTTGATTGTACAATTGAAAATTAAAGAGAAAGAAAGAATTTGAGTGTAAGTTATACTGGTAGAGGCTGTGTCAAGATAGTAACTCTGATTTGCACATCAGACAAGATTCTAGGTTAACATTCTTATCCAACCAAAAGTTCTCATCAAGCTGTAAAGGAAACCCTTGAAACTCAAGGGGACCGGACTAGGAACCACATCGGTGCTCCGAACCATGATAAAAACATTGTGTCTTCTTTTATATTTTGTTTCTTTAATTATCTATACTCTGTGAAACTAGCCTTGAAGAAAGAGTCGACTATGATATTTTAATTCACCCCTCCTAACTTTCAATTGGTATCAGAGCAGGTATCACTAAGTGAAGTGTTTAACCATACGTGAGCAAAGATTTATGGTAAATTATCAAATTTCTGATACTCTCCTTCAAGATGGACATTCTTTAAACCGGTCTCCTTACTTCAATGGTCAACATTACTCTAACTAGAAAGACAAGTTCATAATCTTCATTACATCAAATGACTTCCAAGCATGGGTTGTTATCAAGAAGGGACCAAAATCAATTCCTGATCTCACTGGAAAAGAATCTGTCTCCAAGCAAATTGACCTGGAATCCTTAGATATCATGAAAGAGCAACAAGAGGTAATTCAAACTAATGCTAGAGTTATAAGTTTGTTTTAATATGCAGTTAGCGGAGCATAATACGATAAAATCTCCACTTGTGAAACTGTAAAAGAAATGTGGGATAAATTTGAAGTAACTTATGATGGAACCAACAAAGTGTAAGAAGCACGAATCAGTTCACTAATAAATGATATGAACTATTCAAAATGGCAGATTATGAGAATATAGAAAACATGTTCTCAAGATTTAACAAAAATCGTTTTCGACTCAAATCTCTGAGAATGATATACACAAATGGACTACAAATGAGTCAAGGCTTTCTGAATGGCTTGGTCAATGATCTTGGGCAAAACCTTCTCAACCCGGATAGCTCTAACATTTGTTGACCGGGCAAGGGTTCCCATTTGATAGATCAATGTTTGGGTCAAGGTGGGACGGGTAATAGGAGAGGAGGGAGGCCTCACAGTAGAAGCAACAATAATAGTCTTAGAAACTGTAAAAACAGTAGTGCAGGGTGGTGTAGGGATACTTGTCTGCTCCACAGAAGTAGCTAGTGAGCTGGTCTCAAATGCCAAGGTCGCAAGGTCGACCACAGGGGTAGCGTTTGGTGGTGGTGGCTTCCTCCGAGCCGCATCATCTCGCACACTTTGCCTCGATCCTCCGAATGTCACTGGATGAGGCCGGTGTGACTGTCACATTTGTAAAAGCCCGAAAATGGACTCCTTCCCTCTCACATAACTACGTGATCAAAATTGGAAATGGGAGCGATGTCTGCTTCTACCTCGCCCTCATCATCATCTCGTCAGCAATAAAGGCACCAACATGTATGTGCTTTCGACCGATAATGGTACCTACCAATATTGTCTTGTCGTGGCAAAAGATGGACTAATTCTGGGATGACATCAAGTTGTTGCTGATGAATCCTAACCAATATCTAGCCACAACATTCAAATATTTCTTCTCGATCTTGGCACCATCAGTCATCCCGGAGGGGGAAGAGTCAGAGATCAAGGGTGTCAGCCAACCCTTCAGAGAATCTAAATAGTGGCGCATCCATAGTGAATATAAATTGGATTCGAATGTCAGCATCTTCAGTGCGATACTAATGGCTCCTGCATCACACTTAACCTTCTTTCCTCTTACTTCCACTTCTTCGAGTGGTTGCCAAACTGTGCCCTTTCGCTTCTTGGGAAGGGCTTGAGCATATGTTGTATAAAACTCCGTCACCCAGGAAGGGATGTAAGGATTCCTGGGTTTGGTGAATCCTTTGAACTTGTGGAACTGTATCGTATTCCAAATGGATGGGTAGTCATCCACAACTCCATCTATGGAGAGCCGTCTCTCCTCAAGTATTGTCCGTTCACTTGCAGCTTTGAGCCTATTCAAGGCTCTTGGAGCTATAACCGTTAGGACTCTGAAAACGGGTGTATGTGTGGGTAAAGGTTGCACCAACTTGGAACAAATCTTTGTCCTCTTTCTAACAACCCCTTGTCTAGGTTGTACCTTCCTCTTCTTCTTCTTCTTATTCTTCCTCATCCTCCTCTTCTTCCATGAATTAAGTAAATCCATGACATCATCTTCTTCTTATAATTATGCGAGTAATTCATTGTACGGTTCTCAAGGGAAGTATGATGTCTTTCTAAGTTTTAAAATTGAAGATACTTGGAGAACATTTACAGGTTATTTGTACCAACAATTGAAAAACAAGGGAATATTATCAACCTTTCAAGATAATATGCCACTAGAGGATGGCGATTCAATCCCAGAAGAACTCTTGAAAACTATCAAAGAGTCTCAATGTACCCTCGTCGTTTTCTCAAAGAGTTATGCTACATCAAGGTGATGCTTGGATGTACTAGTGAAGATCATGGAATCCAAGGATGAATACGTACAAACTGTCATACCATTATTCTATGATGTGGATCCATCAGAAGTTCAAAAGCAAATGGAGAGCTTTGCTGAAGCGTTTGACAAATACGAATCAAATTATAAGGATGATGTTGAGGGAATGCAGAAGGTGCAAAGATGGAGGACTGCCCTAACTGAAGCAGCCAAACTCAAAGGATATGACATCCGCCAATGGTGAGCATATGTATGCAATAATTTATTATGTATACTCTATACGTTAGAAATACTTAATTTATCATCGATCTTCTTTCTTATTTTTCTTTTTGTAGGACTCGATCAAACTGTATTCAGCATATTGTTGATCAAATTTCGTCCAAATTATGCAAGACTTAAATTCCACCATTTTTTGGTAGGAAATGTTATGAAAAAAACATGAAATTGATGTTTAACACCTTCACTATGGACTTTAAGATAGTCACTGTCCTTGTATATATGTTTTCTGTTTTCTGTCAGTAGTGCTTGCACCAATGGTGAGAAATTTGTAGTATGAGTGGTTTGTGGATGAAAAAGTTTTTGTGGTCGGACTGATAGGATCCCCTTCCTTGTCTTTCAAAGCTGCAACTTCTTGTGGAGTTAGCATAGCAGCAAAGCCATTTAGGACATTGCGATAAGAGTAAACAATGTGTGACGATTCGTTTAGGTCCAAAAACGAATCGTGCCATTTATGCAAATCTTCAAAATTCAAGTCATGAGGTGACGACTTAAGATGTACAATGTAAATTTCTCTGTTATTATCATGGCTTGCAAGGAATGAAGAAAAATTAAAGTCTGGAAAGCATCACAGTTAGATTAGAAGTTGGAAACAATACTTAGTCATGGATGCTAATGGTGCACCTACGTGAGAAGGAAAATAATTTGTTCACAAACTATAAAATAAGTAGGGAGAACATTTAGTTAGAAATATTTTCGTCAAAATTCAGAAAGTGCCATCCGAAACCATGCAGGCGTAAATGCCCCAGGGGGTGTTGGAAGGGGAGGGGCACTACTCGCTACAATTTGCTGAACTTTCACTCTTTAGTTACAACAGAAGAACATCAAGCAACGCGACAAGGAGCACCAAATTTCTGTGTTGTCCAGCAAAATATGTATACTTTGGTTGCAGGATTTGAGAGAGGAATCTTACTATGCACTCGGTGTGGCTGAGATTGGATTGCTTCTTGCTTGATCATTTCCTGAAATTGCTTTGTTCAGTTACCATTTCTGGTTCCTCTATGTGTAACTTCTCATTTGGTTTCGAAGCAGGCACAAAAGGATCCTGCATCCACAAGGCCAGTCAGAAATATTAGAGAGTTAAAGAGTCACGACAACTTGCTAACATGTAAAGGAGCATGTACTTGAGATAATAAACAGATATGTTTAGACCATATATGTACCTGGCAAGTCAGACTTCACATGGAAGTATGCCGATTACTGAATCCAACAAACTGATCATGCATTCAGTTCAAGCACTCACGATGATCATAGAGGTACCGGGTGGCCTATCCAACAATCCATGCTGCAAAGTTACATACTGTAGGCAAATAGTAAAATATCTTAAGTTAGTTGAATTGAGAATAACAAGTAACTCTATATCACTTCAAAGAAGATATAAGCTATTTCACTATGTCAAGAGATCTAAAAGGAGTGACCCAAGCTTGAAAATCGAAAATTATTTAATAGAAAAGAAACTCTGTTTCATCAAGCTAGCTTTTGTTCTTACTGAATGAAACCCAACTAAAAATTGCATTACGGCAATGCATACTGACTTCATTTCATGTGAAAAGTAGTACCAGTAGCCAGCGCAAATCATTAAAGAGGTAAAGTCTAAAAACCCGAGCTTTCTTCTCATTAATCATGTTGTCTGGAATCTTAAACAGAATTTTTACGAACCAGATTTTCCTGAGTTCACTGCCTATCTTTTCTCGTAGTTTTTTCTCTTAATACATAAGTTCAATTCCACCTGATAAACATAGTAAGGTATAAAATATCTTCATCCTCACCTTTCTACACAAGATTCACATTTGGAACATAACCTTCTATGGTCATCTCCTCGTACAACAAGTCTAGTGCTTGTTGAATCCCATCTACGATTGGATGTGACGAATCACCAGCACGAAATTCAACAAGTTGAGAATCCATCTCAATCCAGCTACAGCCTGGAATTTTAGTCACACCTTTCTGTCGCATTAATTGTCTCATCCTTGCTGAATCATCCCACCTTCGGAGGTTTGCATATATCTTGGATGATATTATATAATTACCCGAATTTGACGGTTCCATCTCAAGGAGTAGCTGCATCACTCGTTCCCCGACATCAATATTTTTGAGCTTTTGACAGGCACCAAGCAATGCACCAAGTAAAATTTCATCTGGTTTTTGAGGCATCTTCTCAATGAAGTCCCATGCCTCATATACACGACCAGCACGAGATAAAAGGTCAACCATGCAAGAGTAATGCTCAACTTTTGGAACCAATCCAAATGATGAGTTCATTATATCAAAGATGTGCTTGCCTTGATCAACCAACCCTGCATGTACACATGCTGAGAGTACTCCAACAAACGTGACATCATCTGGGCGGGCATCACTACTCTCGAGTGACATGCGCTCAAATAGGGATAATGCTTCTTGTGCTCTTCCATGAAAGGCAAGAGCAGAAATCATTGCATTCCAAGAGACTTCATTTTTTCTAGGCATGCTTTCAAAAATTTGATATGCATCGTCCAGCTTGCCGGATTTTGCATACATATCAATTAAGGCCGTAGCTACATATATGTCATGCCTTATTCCTCTTCTTGATGCATAGTCATCGATGCTTTTTCCGACATCCAGGGCTCCAATTGAAGCACATGCAGAGAGAACACTTACCAGTGTGATATTATTTGGGTTTACTCCTGCCTCCTTCATGGCATTGAACAAAGAGATTGTTTCATCGGACAACCCATTTTGTGCATACCTGTAATAAATATTATTCAGATCCGTGGAAGAGACTAATAAAGGAGAACAATAAATGTTTGTACTAGTAAAACAGAAAAACCTCAACAAGACAGGAAAAAAATCACAGCAGGCTTCATATTTTTTATGCTTCAAAACACAGTTATTCTTTTGGTTGTCTAAATGCACATTCATTTGGAAAAACTATAGCGGATTGGAACCGCGAGAAACTAGCATAGATCTCACATGGAATTTATTGAAAGAAGTACTGCAAGCCAGATTGGGATTTGGTCTACCCCTTGCTCAAATGAAAAAAGGATACAAACAACAAGGACAACTACACTTCAGTCCCAAGCAAGTTGCGGTTGGTTTTATTAATCCTCATTTTTTTTTCTCAACACTGGTATTCGAGCTATCTTGTGTGCACCATGATTAATTCCATGGGGTATTTGCTACCACGCACCATCACAATACCGATAACTCTGTCCACCAAGACTTTGGCAGATGGGAGATCACCTAGTATGTTTGCCTTCGCTGAGCTTTGAACTTTAGGTCTCATGGTCCTCATTAAATCCTCACTTATCATGTTCTTCCATTTAAACTCATCTCAAGCCAATAAAATACGAAATAAAGAATAGAAGTTCTCTATATTTCTATTGACATAAAAATCTCAGATAGGGCTAAAATTCCTAGAAAGCATAAGATCTAAAGTAAATATACGAACATGATTAAAACATACTTCCAACATTATCGGTATCGCCTATATAGAGCCTTTTTCCCCCATTGTGACCAAATAGTAAAATGATGATCTCAACTAAACAAAACCTGACCATTTAATGCAAATAGGATGCAAACCTCCTAGGATATTAAACTGTTGAAGTAAGTGTTTTTACCCTGAAATCATTGCATTCCAAGTGATGGCATCTTTCTTCTTCATGCCATCAAAGATCCTTCTAGCAGAAACCAAATCTCCACACTTTCCATACATGTTAATCAGAGCTGAACCCATAAAAGAATTCATCTCCATTCTCTTCCCCACAACATACTCCTCCACCCACTTTCCCAAATTCACATCCCCCAAATCCCCACATGCCACAAGAACACTCACAAGACTCCTCTCATCAGGTTCAAAGCCCTCATTCCTCATTTCCATAAACAATCCTACTGCCTCTCTCGAACAACCCGTTTGAGCATACCCCGAAATCATTGAATTCCACGAAACCAAATCTCTCTGTGAAATTTCATCAAACACCTTCCTTGCAAAACCCATCTTCCCAAAACGTGAATACATAGTAATCAAAGAATGACCAACATGAAAATCCACAAACAACCCATTTTTCACCACCTCACAATGAGCTAATCTACCAAGTTTCACAGCTAAAAGATTCCCACAACACATAAACACAAAAGGGTAAGTGAAATTGTCAGTTTTCAAACCTAAAGACTTCATTTTGTAATAAAATTCTAAAGAAAGATCAAATTTTTGCCATGTTGTAGTTAACCCTCTTATCATAATGTTAAATGCATACTCATTGGGGCTATGAATATGTGAAAAAAGAAGAGAAGCATAGTCAAAATTCTTGAGGTCTATTATTCTTGAAAGCAAAAAGTTGGCTTTGTCTATAGAGTAAATTAACATTTGGGTATGGATTTGTTGTACTTGTTTGATTGTAATGCATTGTTTCAAGAGGAATAAGAGTTGTTGAGTAATGGGAAACATTCTTGTTGATTATGAAAGCTTGCTTTGTTGCTTCAATGGTGAAAAAGCGGGAGATTTTATATTGTTGGGGTTTAGCTCTAAGAAACATTGTTTGTCTATCTAAGAAGTGACAAGTAGATGTTACAAGTACACAATTTTGGGTCGATATTTGGGCTTTCAAATTTACTATGGAAATTGGGTCTTACTTTGTTATGATTTGGTTCTAGACCATAAACTTTACTTACCATTTATTTAGTTCGAACTTACATAAAATTTACGCAACCTTTCTCTTCTTCTTTGTCCTCCCTCCTCCTCCATCCTCTTCCTCTTCTTGTTCTTTTTTTTTTTCTTTAAAATTCGACCTACTGTAAAATGTAAACGTGAATTATGTATAAAAACATTTAAAATATTGAGAGAATTTCATATCTAAAATTTTTGATTGTTTAGAGGTGATTTTGAATTGGTCGGGATTGAATAGTAACGTGTACATCGTATTCAGGGTATATTTCATGTACAATTAACTTATATTCAACTATTTGAGTATATCATAATGTGTAGTCAGTGTATGACTCACCTATAGGTAAACTATATTCAGCTTTTTGAGTGTATTTTAATGTATAGTTTCTATGACTTTTGGTTATTTTTTATGTAAATAAAAATATGGCTATATTTATTGTAATTATTGTATATATTTGAAACTATTTCACAACAAATTGGCACGGCAGACAAACTAACCTTAAAAATGTCAAGAAAGAAATTCCTTGAACAGGTGGGAAAATGCTTTAAAAAGGTATTAAATTCACTATATATTATGGTCTGATACATACAAATAATAATGAACGAGACAACTTTATAGAAGGAAATTCAATTTTAGTCACGATCGACGACAACATATAGATAATGAAATTTTTGAACAAGTTCGTAAAAAAATTGAGAAATAAAATACAAAAAGGGGTAGCTATACCGAGTAGGGATTCAAATAAGACCTTGTCCTTGGTTTTATTATCTATGAAGGCTTTTAGGGGTCGTCTGATAGAGTGTATAAGAATAATGCAAAATATAGTGTATTAGTAATGCTTGCATTAGTAACCTTATATTAGTTATGATAAGATTTTTTTTATACAATGTTTGGTTTGGTATGAATTACATAGTTTTTTTAGAAAAAAATATTTGTTTACAAAAATACCCTCAACAAATATAATGGAAAGGATGCAAAAAAAGATTTTGAGGGCAATTGTACACTAGTAATTTTGCTATTAGGAAGATTCAATGAGAGATGAGGGATAGAATAAATGGGTTAAGTAGTTCCAAGAGAGCCTTACATAGTCAATATCTAATACAACAATTGTATAACTAGCTATAGGTTTTGGTTTTCTGTTTGAGGCCTAGGTGATTGCAACACCATCCATGAAGGTGGTTGTAGTACTAAGGTGCTCATTTCTCTTTTTAGAGTCGTAAACATTTCGAATGTCAATGGTAATATTCACAATTATTACAAAAAAAAATAATACTATAAGAATCAACCAAGTTGATTATTTATTTTTATATAAAGAGTGGTTTAGACCACTTTTTTTACTTCAAAGTATATTTGAATTATTCCTAATGTATGAAATTTTCTTAACATCTACTTTGTGATACAAAATATTGAGACCATGGGATTATAAAAACACATATAAATATTATCTTAACCATCAATGTATATTTCTTTTATAAAAATATTAATCTAAATCTTGATGATGGAAGTTATCAAATATTTTAATAATAATTGATTGAAACTAGTCGATAATCAAATTAGTGATCAAGATACCTACGATATGGTCCCTACACCATGATCTATAACTTAGTCAAAATCAATAAAATAGGATATTTGATCGAACACCTAATGCTACATGCTTATTTAGAGTAGATATCAAATAATTTAACATGAAAAAGTCATTTTCACCGTTCTTTTTTATCCATTTTCTCAAGTATTGATAACAATTTTCCCTCTCTCCACAAATATATTTAACTTCGATTATATCCAACAAATACCTAACTATTTTTGAAAAATTCAAACTTGAACTCTTGAAGCAACTTGATCTTTCGTAATGTTTGATTTAACTTACACAGATATCTATAAGATAACTACAAATAATATCGATAAGAATATAATGCACTCCAAGTCTCCAACAAAAGAGATATTTAGTGGCAATAGATTTTTTTTTATTGCTGCAAAATATTTAGTGGCAATTGAGTTAATAACATTGAAATCTTGACGAGAAGAAGTTGCTCCGATGGTAAGCACCCCTCACTTCAAACCTGAAGGTTGCGAATTCGAGTTACCAAAGGGAGCAAAAGGGGTGGGAGATCCTAGGGAGGGTTGTTAAAAAAAAAACATTGCATTTAGAGTCGCTATAACCTTTAATGACATATATATAGAATACTGACGGTAAATATTCATTATTACCTAAAAGTTAAGACGTTCATGTTAGCTTTAACATGTTATAATACATTGATAATATCAAAATTCTTTATATTATCAATACATGCAAGTTTAATACTTTAACCCTTTTTAGTATATATTACGATCAATTAACCATTGCGTGCTGGGTGACAAAGCCTATATAATTTGTTTCAACTAATTGTCATGGTTGTCATTAATGACTAGCTATAAAACTTGTATATTTTCACTATAAATCAATAATCATTAGGTATAGGACGTAACAAAACCTAAATAATTCATTTCAATTATATTTGACATTATTGTCTTTGACAAAAGTATGAACTTGCAATATAATGGTACAAATAATAAATTACTATTGCACGTAAGGTGTGTTAGGTGAGGATTAAATGTCTTTATGTTTGGTTGATGACATTTTCTATAAGAAAAGGATTTCTTAAAAACACAAAAATATTGACTTTCTCGATTGAAAGAGGGGAAATAATTTTCATAAGTTTATTACACGCTAGAGGTGTTTAATGAGTGAGTTGGGCTGACGTAGGTGTCAAATGAGTGAGTTGGGCTGAATTTGGGTAAGGAGTTGAAGAAAAGAAAAACAAACTTTTATACATGACAATTATATAACTATAAAAACATATTATTATAAGGGTATAGTGAAAGTTTAAAGTGATTTCAAATGTAACGAAAAAAGGGTATTTTCAAGTAGAAATTTATGTGCAATTCTTTTATGAACATATTTAAAGTAAAATGGTTCCCCACACACTACTAAAAAGTCACTAATTCTCTCATATTTAAAATTTTCACTAAAAAATATTCAGTAATTATTTTAATATATATTTTGATTGAATCACGGAAAAACGAAAAACTAGTAGTGTTTTCATGCAAAAAAAAAAAATTAGAAAGCTTCTCATTATTTCAATGAAAATCTGTTTTTCTATCATTATTTTCCAAATAATAATACGAAAAAGATTATATTTCTTAACATAAATTTTTCATTGATTTGTGGAAGAAAAACTCTATTTCTAGTAGTGACATACATGGAACATAAGGAGTAACTTACATTCCCATAAAAAAAAATAGAAAATAACTACTAATATTTCAAATAGAAAGAAAGAGAGATAAGGGGAAAAAAATTACAAGAACATAAAGACTATCATCAAGCTTCCAGTAAGTCTTCTAAATTTACTATGGTCAATTTATTTAAGGAATAATTAATTATATGTCCATTTAATACTTTCGAGGTGAATGTGATGCAAGGATAACCTATAATTTGATCAATTCAAAACTTTTTTTTTGACATTTTCTTTACTTTGTGTGCTTAATGTTAATTTAAACACAAGTGTTGGTAAAAATATTATTTTTGTGTCACTATAAATAGACCCTCTTATAAAACTTATATTCCACAAAGTAAAGCATCTCAAAAAGAGTTAAAGAAATGGCTCAACCTAAAGTTAACATAATAACTCTTTCTGCTATCCTACTTTGCTTTCTTCTCATGTTTGCTTCTGGTGAGAAATTCTTAAGTATTTTGTTTTGTTTTTTCTTGTTGCTTAATAGGATAAAGTATTGTAAATACATCATCTATATGTTAGATTCTATATATGGTATGTTTGGTAGGAAGAAAAATGTTTTTCATGGCAAATAATTTCTTGAAAAATGTTTTTTTTTAGGAAAATATAAGTGATCAGTATCCTACTTATTTTCTTGTGTTCGGTAGATAAGTAAAAAATATTATTTTTAAAGCATTTGTCTATAATTATTTAGACAAATATTATGAAAGGTGGGGTGGGGAGATAGGGTACGGTGTGGGATGGTGGGGCTTAAGACGAGGTGGTACTGTTTGGGGGTGGATCAGGACACAATCAATGTGAAATGTCATTAGTAGAACTCGTCTTCCTGTAGAAAATATTGTCCAAAATATTTGACCAACCAAACATGAAAAAATTGAATCATACTAACACACTCTCTAAGTTGCATTTTTATGTTCACATATGATCTCTAAGCTTGGAATTTTAATGAAAACATCACTTACGGTGAAACTTGTTTCCCTCCTTCAATTAAAAAAATCATTTTCCAAAAAATATTTTCCTTCAAACCAAACCAAACCAAACACACCCTAATAACATGTTGAATTGTGGTGAAACGTATATATATGCATACGTTTTGAGGTGGAGGTGCTAGGTGGGGGTTCGTGGGTTCAGATGAACGGCCACTAGCTTTTCCGTTATATATATATATATATATAAACTTGTGAATCCCTTAACAGAATTTATTGACAACTCAGTGGTAAAAGTTATTTTTTACACTAGTACTATTGTGGGTTTGAACTCCACTATTAACAAAAAAATCGCTTTTCCCTTTTAAAGAAAGCACATTTTGCAATATTTTTCTCTTCTGTCCTAAAATTTAGAACCCCAAAATTCCTAATCCTAACTTCGCCTCTGATATCAAATGATTAATGACTATCCAAATCCATAGTTTTTCAAAAATAAAATAAAATAGAAGAACTGGTGTGAATCCATTCTATATTGAAGAATGTACATAACAATTCTTTACATTGCCACTATATATATAATATAAATTGTATCAATATTTTTTATGCAGAGACACAAATAACAGAAGCAAAACACTGTGGGAAGCATAGCAAGAGTTGGAATGGGAAGTGTTTCCACA